GGTTTGAGTTGGGTTGAATCAAGTTGGATGATGATTTCTTCTTGTTTTGAAAAAAGGCCTGCAATCCAAGGCTTTTTTCAAAGGCCTAGGATAACAGGGATGATATTGTAGCATGCAGTGGGTGAGGCTGGCTACATGTATAGAACGATCAGTGTCCTTGATCAGTGGACTCGCATAGGTGGACTCGCAGGTCTTTACCCAATTTGGACTCGCACAGGTAGACTCGCAGGCCTTTAACCAATTCGGTTTTCACAGAATGAGGGCGGACACAAATGGCAGATGCTACAGCTTAGCATGTGTGTTGAAACACCAGATTGTATTATGGCTGGACCCGGCCCTTTCAGATTTTCAGCCAGGTAACAGAAAAAGGGATGACTGACCTATTGAAACTTACGAGCGTGAAACCAGTAAGTGCTCTGCCAGGGCTGCAGGAGGTGTTGATGGCTGTGTGGAGAGACAACCCAGTCTCACGGCAATATGTGAAACAGTCACAAAACTTGATCTATTGTTTTGTGTCCTGGAACACGATTTTCCAACTTTTTTGTGTCCCCCAGCACGAATTTCAAACCAATACATTTCAATTGGAAATATAAAATATAAGTTCTTTTACTGTGTTTGGGCTACATGCTCGTCGTTACTTTCAATCCTCTGTAAAGGAATACAACTCTGAATAGAAGGACACATCCAGGAAAACAGTGACTGGACGATGTACTGTGATCGCAGCAATGGATAATATGACTATTGTAACTGAGCGGCCAGCGGTGGGGAATGTGTCTGTAGCTTTGCAAAGCTTTTAGCTAGTTCGTCGAGGCTGGCTACATTAGCTACTATCCTGGCCCAGCTGCTGCTGCTGCTTCTGCTTCTTCTTCTGTTGATTTGGTGGTTGGCATCAAACGTTCAGGTGCATAACCGCCACCTACTGTACATAAAAAAAACATTACAGACTCTGTAGGATGGATCACTTCTGGGTCTCCAGCGAGGCTGCGCACTGACGCTAACAGGGTTGCCTTAGCAACGAGTGCAAATTTCCCCCAAACACTCCCGGTGAAAACAACCCACAAAAGATACCACAATGCGATGTACTCTTTTACAGTTATTTCATACCACACATATTATACTTTAACAGTAGCGCATTTGTCAGCACTTCATTCCATTTACTTTAGTTTATTACAAAAAACAATCCTAGTTGTAAACCCCAAGAAGAACTACATATTTCATGGCGTGTCCAATCATGTTGTTCCACTACTGGAAACTGTAGTTCTTTCATCAAAATAGCTGTTTCTCCTAAATGGAGGGTGAAATATATAACTTTAAGTGCATTTAGGGCTTTAAATTGATGAGGAACATGTTTATTTGGACTAAATTTACAAACGAATTTAGGTGAAATAAAATTTTTACCATTTAATCTTGTTTTAATAAGAAAAACCAATGAGCAACTATAACAGTAATTAGGCCTTGCTTTTACATATATGTGTGTGGCTCTTATTATTATTATTATTATCTGCCTTTTTTTTTGGTATTGTTAATATTTTATTTTATTCTGGTATCTGTTTTCTGCTTCTTTGCACCAATGGACCAAGTCAAATTCCTGGTGATGTAAAAATTACTTGGCAATAAAACTGATTCTGATTCTGATTCTGATTCTGATTACATACAGTATAGCCATATAGCCATATGACTGTTGTTAAAACACATGAATGAGTGTAACCCTGAAATTGTTTTCCTGAGGGATAAAGCAGCTGGTAACGATGTCCTCAATGTTAGGGTTAGGATAGTATGAAACAGGATTTAACCAGGGAAAACATTTTTAACAAGGCCAAAAATGACACCCATGGGTTCCAGTAGGTCAAAACAAAGCTGTCATTAATGAATTTACCCACTATGTTAAAATTGTAAAATTATTTTAATTTCATTTTGTCCAATGAGCTTCACACGTCTCCTGGAAAACTACACCTGATACAGGGTTGGGTCCAGAGGGGTGAAAATTAAAACTTTGTCATAGGACTAAACATCATGCATCGTTGGAAAGGACTTGATCAGGGGAGTGAGATTATGTCAGTCTGGAAGTTCGACGTTACGCTTGCTCAGAGATATTGACCTTTGAACTTTGACTTTGGTGCATCTTTTAAAGCTTCTAATTCAACAATGAAAGGAGCTACAATCATGGGCCCAACTGTTATACAAATCTCTTGACTTCTACTATCATGTAGGATATGGCTTGATGTTTCCACCAGCAGGGGGTATCACAAAATGTGATAAAAATTTAATTTCACCTATATATATCTATTTCATTTGTAAAATCAGTCCAAAAAAAAACATGTTCCTCATCAATTTAAACCACTAAATGCACTTAAAGTTTTATATTTCTCTTCGCCTGTATCTCTTCGGCTTCTTAGAGTAGCTCCTCTTAGCTGCTCTGATCTCCTTTGTCAGTATGTTTCTGGTCTGGCTGAACAACACTTTGGCCCCATTTCTGTAGACCTCTTCTTAGAATAGAATAGAGTAGAATAGAATAGAATGCCTTTATTGTCACTATACACATGTACAATGAGATTAAGAGCAGCTCCTTCAGTGCAGCATAGAATAAAGAACAAAATAAAGAGCAAAAATAAAATAGAAGAGATTGAAATATAAAATAAGATAAGTTATATACACAGTATAAGTTATATGTACAGTATTAATTTAGAAAAGTATTGCACAGCATGGACACATTTAATTAGAGTTCACAGTAGGTGGTTGTGAGGTAGATTGGGGGGGGGCTGTGATGTCAGTGCATGTGTGAGTTCAGAGTGGTGATGGCTTTTGGGAAGAAGCTGTTCTTGAGTCTGTTTGTTTTGGTTCTGATGCACCTGTAGCGCCTCCCTGAGGGCAGCAGGTCAAACATGGCAGAACCAGGGTGGGAGTTGTCCTTGATGATGGATTTTGCCCTACTGAGGCAGCGGGAGGTGTAGATGTCCATCAGGGAGGGGAGAGGGCAGCCGATGATCTTCTGGGCTGCCTTTACAACTCTCTGAAGCCTCTCCCTGTCTGCCATGGTGCAGCTGCCGTACCATGCTGTGATACAGTAGGTCAGTAGGCTGTCAATGGACGAGCGATAGAAGGTCAGCAGCAGGGTGGGGGTCAGGTTGTGCTTCTTGAGGACCCTCAGGAGGTGAAGCCGCTGCTGCGCCTTCTTGATTATTGCCGTGGTGTTGTTTGTCCAGCAGATGTCAGAGGAGATGAGGACGCCAAGGAACCGGAAGGTGTAGACCCTCTCCACACACTCGCCGTTGATATAGAGGGGGGCTAGGTCAGTGCTGAGCCTCCTGAAGTTGACAATGATCTCCTTGGTTTTCTTGGTGTTCAGAGCCAGGTTGTTTTCTGAACACCAGGCTGCCA